AGTTCATGAGGCTGGCTTAAATTTCAAGAGACTTAGAAATTCATGAGATTTAAAATAATAATTAATATAGGGTTCTTTTTCTTTGTCATACTACTTTTGGGTACTTTTGAATCACGTTTTTTAATTTTGTTTCTGCAACAAACTTGAAACTTTAAGAAGAAAGCTGAGGGAAACCTGAGACTATCACAATTCCAGAAGCTGGACCTTAAACAAATTTACATATAGGTCAAGGCTTGCAATACAAATGTGAGAGTTGGTAACACTCAAATTTCCAGTTTTCTAGGCTGTTAATACCTAGCAGTGCTTTTCATCTTCATCCATGCTTCTGCATTAAAGATTCTTAGGAGCTTAACCTTTTTCCTGTAAAATGCTTTTATGACCTGCAGGATATTTATTTACATGAACTCAAACTTGAATGCTTGGTATCATTTCCCCTGGAATCCAGCTGCTTACATTCAGGCTTCTAGTATGACTAGATCCTTTTCCCACTCCTATTTGGTATACGTATACTGTATAAAAATATGCACATGGACCTACTGCATATTCTAAAAATTCACATCATTGAATTATGTTGCAAAATGGTAGCTGAGTCAGAATATTGTACAGTACATTAATGCTACTATTTACTGCAAGCATAGTTAGAGGCTTTTTTTACAACAGTTATCTAAATTTTGAAAGGTTTCTCTTCATAATAACTAGTACTTTAAAACAATTAAAGAGTAGGTACCAGTAACATAATGCATAAAATGAGCCATCAGGTTGAAGTTGGATGTGTGGAAATCAGTGTCAGCAAAAGTCCAATGAAAAAGATGCTAGATTTAACAAAGTCTTCCCAGAACCCAGACTGCATTTCTTGTCTGGACAAGCAACCACAAGCACAAAATGTATGTCTGAGAGGGCACATTTACATCTGCAAAGTAATATACTCTGGAGTAAACACATTGTGTGTAGGTGCCTACATGTGATTAGTAGGGCTGTGCGAAGCTTTGGGTGGTGACTCGATTCGGAGGAGATTTGGCCCAATTTGGTGGCTGAATCTCTGAATCCAAACCAAATCAGGGGACCAATTAAAAGGTCCAAATTAATTCAAAGCTCTCCAAATCTTCAGAAAAGATTCGGAGAGCTTTGATGATTCAGACAGTCCCCATTGGCTGCAGCAGGGAGCTGAAGCTGGACTGGGAGCTGGTAAGTAGGGGAAGGAGAAATGGGGGAGGGGACCATGGGGGGACCCCTGCCAGGCCCCATCCCCTGCCTGCTCACCCCTGACCTCTGGCCATTCCCTCCCAGCCCCCCATGGCTGCCCCACCCACTCCAGCTCCTGGTACTTTAAAAAAAAGCCCTACTCATCGGTGCTGCCAGGCAGGGGGGAGATCCCCACTGCCCCATGCCATGTGGAGGGCTCTGCCATGAGCCCCCCAACCCCCCCTCACTCCCCCAGCCCCACCATGGCTGCACGGGTTGCCCCAGCTCTGGCGCTTTAAGAAAAAAAAACAAAAAAAATCCCTGTGACTTGCTGCTGCGGCAGCGGCCTCGGGGCTTTGGGGGACTCATGCAGAGCTCCTCACATGGCATGGGGCAATGGGGATCACCCCCCAGCTGGCAGGCATGGTGAGTCTGGGGGATTTCTCAGGTTTTTTTTTTTCTTAAAGGGCCAGAGCTTCAGCAGGCGGGGCAGCCATGGGGGCGGGGCTGGGACAGCAAGGGGGGGTCATGAGGCTCATGCAGAGCCCCCCAAGCAGCATGGGGCAGTGTTAGCTGCCCCTCTGCTGGATCAGGGCAAGGGACTGGGACCTGCCCCATTCCCAATAGCTCTTTCCAAGCTCTATTTCCTCAATCGGCTGATCTGACCACAGGGCTGGGAAAAAGCAGCAGGGCTGAGACCTGTCCCAAACTGGGACAGTCCCTAGTCAGTACCAGATTGCATGTGCAAACTTTCTAGTGTAGCCTGGAGCTGGCTGGGAACTGTCCCCACCAGGGGAAGGTACTAAACAGCTCCAGGCTCGGAGGGGAACTCTCCCCATGCAGAGAGCTCCCAGCCCCTGGAAGCTGCCTGCTGCCAGGGTAGGCTCCACCACCAGAGCCTGGGTGGGGACAATGCAGAGTGGAGGCTGAGAACTTCATGCTGCCAGGGCAGGGGGACATTGTCCCCGCCTGGGATCCAGTGGTGAAGCCTGCTGCCAGCTCCTGGGGCCAGGGAGCAATCTCCTGGCCCCTGCTGCCTGGCTGACTGGGAGCAAATTTGCTCCCAGTCAGCTGTCTACATGTGCCCTACTTCATAGTAATTACTCGGCAGTTAACTTACTATTTGTATTTGCAGGTAGCAAAGTAACTGCCAAGTAGAGCACATTACTACGCAGTAAGGGTTTACATGTGTAGATGGTGATGCTTAGGTTCACAGTAATTTGCTGTACTACATAGTAAAGTGTCTCGTGTAGATGTACCCAGAGAAGACAGGCTTCCCAAGGACAACTAAACATGTCACCTCAGACACAAATAGCAGGATTTAGTGAAAAATACAAACTTTATGATAAGTACCACAAATTTGGGGAATTCCATTATCACAAAAAACAAAAATCCTGTCATCTAAGGACCCCCTTACACAGGCAGGTAAAGGCACAATGCGATCTAACACATAATCCACACAATCACTCCTCCTGCCATGCCACATGTACATGTCAGGAGGCATAATTGTGGGATCCAGCATAAGATCCTATCACGCCTTTTTGCTGATAAAGGGGGAGCCTGGGATCACCATCTTTAGCTGCAGGACTCCCATCCCCAGTTGCATGTGGGGTGCCCCCGGAGCTTGGAGTTTGCAGCAGCTGTGGTCTCCCAGCTGGGGCACAGGCTACATGTGCCAATTAAAGCTGGACAGGAGCCAGCTATAAAGTTATTATACATTTTCCAGCATTAATTTGATAACTGGTTGGACCTTTTTAAGACACCATAGTGAATTTGTATGTGTAACTAGTCTAAATTAGTTGCACAATTAGCAGGTAACTGCACAATAGATATAACATGTAGAGGGGGCCTAAAAGATTTCCTCCTTACCCACATGCTTAGTTAAAAGGGAACTTGTACACCCTGAAAGAATATGGCATGCAAATTTTTGTTTTTTAATAATGGAAAGACACCAAGGCTTTGTCTCCAGTGCTCCTGCCTGTCTCCACCCTACAGCCTCCAATTTGGCACTGACAAGCCTAGAAATTCATCAGTAAGAGATATCTTAACAGGAGTAATAGGGAGCACCACATCACTGAGATGTGGTGTCAACACACATTTTTACATTTGGGTGGATTCAGCCCCTGAGCCTTCTATAAACTGAGCCTGCCTCCATGTTGAAATCTGTGTGTGGACAAATACTCAAAGGAGGACATTCACATTCCTTATCTCTATAAAACTGCTTTTAGGTACAACCTGAAATGTATAATGAAAATAAACCTTATCATTTTGCATTGTGCATGACTTTTATGCAAGAGGCCTCCAGTGTCAATGGGAAGCTACAAAACTACAATAAAATCACGTGCAAACTTCAATATATTTGGAGGTAACTGTCATACTTAGAGACAACGGTCTTATTTCCTTACTAAATCATGGTCTTCTCCACTAATCAACATGCACTGAGGAAATCTCCAAGTCAGATTATTCATTGTGGTCAAGGTCTACCATCTAAGTATGATTAATTAATTATCCATGTCTTCCTTCAGCCCCAGGGTTCAACGGTAGAATTTAAGCATCACCTTTTAAGTTGCTTTGGCATCAAGAACCCATGCTATAACCATTTTTCCTTCCAAACAGGATCAGAGAGGACTTTCTTATTATTCCTGACCCTTAATCTCCAGTGCTTCCAGACTCTGCCAGGACTCAAAAGTCTGTCTGAGATTTTTTATTTTTTTTTTTGTAAATCCACAGGAGTTACTGTCTATCTTGCCAATGCAGCTGCTCTGACTACATACTAACTCTGTGCACTGACAATCCTCATAATTTTGTTGTTGTTGCTGTTAAAAAAAACTGTCCCCACAGCAGCTGCTTTTCTAAATGGAATAGCTCCAAATGCTCAGATAAATCTGTTCACAAGGCCTGAATATTTGTAGCTTACATGAAATCCTGTTCTTTCTTAAGTTATCAGTGTAAAATGTGTCCGAATCCATTATGTTCAATTTGCTTGAGTCTGGCATCTCGTTAGAGCTACAGTTTATTGGATGGATGTAAGGAGGAAGGTAGAACAGAGGACATGTTATAGGGCCATAGGAAGCTAGCTGGGCTACACTATCGGGACACAGGACTGAGCCTCAGGCCATACTGGAGGGATGAGAGGGGAACAAGAAAATATGCGGATACTGTAGGTAATCACTGGAACTTGCCAGAAGGAAAGACAATGACACTATATGGAGAAATATTTCCATCCACTGACAGCTCTGTCTATGGGCCCTCCAGAAATGAAAAGTCACACAAGTTATTGCTGGGAAGTCTTTCTGCAAGGGGAAGCTGTGTGGTCCAGGAAGCAGACAGGCTAAGTTGCCTTGGGGATATTCTAATTTAGTAGATTTCTTGAGGAGCCTCCACTGACAGAAAATCATTGTCCTAGCCATAAATGGTAAGTATTTCCCTCTAGTAAACTCTCAGACTCCAAAACTGACGGTGATGAAAGTGCTATATCGTGCCAACGAGTGAGATCTAATTCTCTGCATAAGGGCAGCGATCCCCACAAAGTGTCAGCTCTGTACAAAATGCTACTGACCACCACACAGGAATTACAAAAAATGTAACATTTGCAAGATACTATATTTCAGTTGTGCAGGACAACCAATATACCCGGTAAAGCAAGTACCAGTGCTAATTTGAACAAAAAGCCTGTTAGCTTTTAAGTGGGAAACAAACAGATCAGTAGGAAAGACATATTTCATCTTTGAAAATGACTTCTCTGATTCATGAGCATATTTCTCCTCATGGGGGAAAAAAATGCGTAATTTCAAGTGAGATACCTCAATTCCAATTACCTTAGCAATGATCTCATGAAGGCTGAAGGAAGGATCCATCTCTTCAGTTACTGGTGTATGTGCTGGAAAAAGAGCTTCAGAGAGAAAGCCTGGACCCTGTGAAAAGGCAAAGGGAAACCAATTAGGACTCCATATTGATTTCCCTCTTCAAATGCTTATTGGATTTTCCTTAAAGATTCAAAAGATTCCAGATTGTTTTCAAGTTTTTGCTTATTATTAGACTTTGTTTTACAAATCTAATTAACTCCCTCCAAGCGTCTGAAAAAGACGCCAAAGTCAGGTGTGTAAGTCCATTTCCAGAACAACAGTTGTCTTAGCAATTCTACTTACAAACACAGTTGAGTCTTTGCATAGAAGAAGAGATATCTTCACTGCTTTCATTTTAAACTAGCTATAACTTGACATTTGATTTGATGAATTGTGTTTATCTTTCAGATCTATTTATATGTGGCAATTATGGATATATGCATGTCTCCCGTGCAACTGTGCTCTGTGTGTACACAGTATTCCCATCTACATAATTTGTTTTAAATCACTGAAATAAATACCCTGAAATCTTATATTTTTATGATGAACATTATTTTAACAACAATGTCAACCTGACAGGTAATGTTTAGCATGTGAACTTCTTTTTGTGAAAAACATCTGTAAGGAGATATATGTTGTCCTTTGGTTGTCACAAGGAACAACTTAAATTAACATAGATATTCTGTCTATAAGAGATTATGCTTTATGACCATGAAACCCCATACAAAATGTACAGTCTGATTTAGGATAGGTCCAGTGTAGTGTAAACATTACACAAAGCCTAGTCAGAACCAGGTTAGCCTTAGAACATAGTGGCTAGGGACAGGAGTTACACATAAACTGATTTAAATGATCAGAAACTGGTTTAAACCTGTAACCGATCAGTGCACATAAACCAGTGCACATAAACCAGTTTCAAAACGGCTGAAACCCGTTTAAGATAAACCTGGTTGAATGTAGTATCAGACTTAATTGATTGAGCTCAAACCTGCTTATGGAACCTCTGTCCCAGACCCCTTCCTGGTACAAGTTAAGCCAGAGTCTTCCAGCATCCCACCATGTTCTGCAAACATGAGCAGTGCTATCTGCTCCAGCAAAGCAGGGCTGACCCTGCCCCTCTGCTTCCTAGCATGGGTGGGCAGGGGTGGTGGTGTGGCCAGATGCTGCCCCCCTAAGGCAAAGGGGGGCAGGGAAAAGGTTTATTCCCCTTCCTCCCCTGTCCCACCAGCATGGACCTGCCAGGAATTTCTACGCTCGCTACTCCAGTGGTGGGGGTATGGCAAGCCCTGGCAGTAGCCTCAAGTGAACTGGCCAGGAAGAGGGTTTAATTCCCCCCTCCCTGTCCCACAAGCACAGACCTGAGCCAGAGTCCACCTGGCACTCCCCACTCGCTGCTCCAGCAGCGGTGACATGGCCAGCCATAACGGCCCCTGAGGCAGAGGGGGCAGGTAGAGGCTTTATTCTTCCCTGCAACCCCTTGGACCCCAGGGGAATGCAACCAGAGTCTGCCAGCCCCAACCACTGCCACCACCAATTGCTCTCTGAGCGGGGTGAGTGGCAGAATAAGCTCCTTCCAGGCCCCCTCCACCAGACACCAGAAGGAGGGGGGAAATAACCCCCCTCCCTGACACCTCACCTAAGGGGGCCATGCTGGTTGGCATTTGGCCATGCCCCTGCTCCTGCCACTGGAGCAAGGGGGTAGGGACCCTGATGGGGGCAGCATCCCCTGTCATGGTTTCCAGGGAAGCAAGCCTCTTCCCAGAAGGGGGCTGTGCTGTGGGCAGCAGCAGAGTGGGGTGGGAAGGGGTGGTTGGAGCTGCCACAGACTGCACGGGCAAGCAGCAGCACTAGGGCTCGCAAGGGTGGCCATAACCCCCCAAGCTCCTCCTTGCATGCCACTGCCGCTCTCCTTGTGCAGTCTGCAGCAGCTTTGACCACCCCGTTCCATTCCTGTCCACAGTGCAGTCCCCCGCCAGGAAGAGGCTTCCACTCTCAGGAAACCATGATAGGGGGTGCTGCCCCCATCAGGGTCCCTGCCCCCTCACCACTCCAGCAGCAGGGACTGGGCCACAGCCAGACACTGGCTGGCATGGCCCCTTAGGTAAGGGGGCAAGGAGGGGGGCTATTCTATTCCTCACCCTATGCAAAGAAGCGGTCAGTGGTGATGGTGGTTGGGGCTGGCAGACCCTACCTGCAGTCCCCTGGGGGCAGAGGGAGCAGAAGGGGGAATAAACCCCTTCCCTACCCCATCTGCCTCAGGGCCATGCTGCCTGGTACCTGGCCATGCCCCTGCCCCTGTTGCTGCTACAGTCAGGGGGGAGTACCAAGCGGACCCCAACTTGGCAGGTGGAATTAAATGCTGGTGGGATGGGGAGGGAGAATTAAATGCCCTCCGTGGCAAGTTCACTTGAGGCTACTGCCGGGGTTAGCCATGCCCCCACCAATACAGCTTCTCTGCAGCCGAGGGCATGCTCTAGCACCCCCAGCTCCTGGCCTGAGCCACTGCAGGCACATACCTGCATTTCACTTGCAAATTGGTACAATCTAGGCAGGTTAGACTAACCTGCAAAGAGTGAATCAATTCAGATGCCGGCTTTTTGAATGTCTGTCCCTAGCCCATGGAACTAAGGCTAATCCTAAAAAAGGCTCATAATGAAGATTAGGAATATTCCTCATCTAAACAGTAACATACAGAAAAGCTTTCTAAAAACAAGCATGTGTATAAGTCCATGCAGTTCTTAGAAAAAGAAACACACACGGTTATTTTATGCTTACAATGAGCACAGAGTGTGGCAGGAAGGAAAAGGAAGGGAACTGTTAGAGTTATTATTTGTCTCGTTTCATTGAATTCTGCATAATTTGAAGGTTTTCTTATGAGTTCTCTACAGAATGACAGTTATCCTATAATCCTTCATCTGACAACCCTCACAGAATTTATGGGAAAGTATTAATGTGCAGATCCAGTTTCTAATTAAGTATGAGAGCAGATGGAAACCATCTTTCTCTGTGAAGGACACAGTGGTCAGAGGTTTGCAGAGGCAGAGAAAGAAGACAAGTAAAATGAATCTATATGTGCTTGCTTCACATCTCAGGGTAAGGACTATGCGAGTCTTCCTAGGGCTCTGTAGAACACAGAAAACAGTTCTTCAATTCTGATTGCACTCTGTGGGCATGTCCCCACATGCAGGGCTATGTGGTTGATGTGACAAAAATACCAGTGGCACAAATCTGTGCCGCTACTTTTTCCAGCTGCGCATGACCCTGCACCTGGGGTTGGTGTGGGGCAAACTGCTCTCACTAGGATACAGCAGGCTGGCTCCAGCAGCCTTACCTGGGGTTCTGGGGGCCTCCTGGAGCAGCAATGGCACTGATCTGGCATGGCTCTGAATGGCCAAGCTCCGTTTCTCTGCACACCACCTTTTTCGGTGGACACCAGGATCTCCCAGTGTCAAAACCCCCCCTTCCATGCTGCAAATCAGCAGCATGGCAAACAGGTGCATGTGTGCAGTTTGCAGCACCTCAAACTGCTTTGAGGTACCACAAACCACATTTGTGCACTCAACTGGATGCTCCCTGTATGTGCAACTATAACAACATAAGGAACATAATAACAATCAAGTAGGGCCTTTCTCGTCCCCTTCAGGATCAAAAGCACCTAAAGGGGCAATTTGTTTGCATCTCTGTAAAATTAAAGTTGGAGAATGCCTAAATTCTTTTCAGATTAAGTTGCAAGTAAGGTCCAGCATGAACAGTTTCATCTGTTCTAGCTTCTTTTCCCAAATTAAAACAGGCCACATTGACAGATGTTCCAGAAATGTTCCTAGAAGCATACTCTTTCAATTGGATGCAGGCCTAGTGCATGACCAGTCTCAGCAGCAAACATTTTTTGAGGTTTTGCCACCCTGACATTTATTGATGCTCAATAGTCTTTGCCCATATCTGCCAGAAAGCACTCAAATTTGTACACACATATAGTGAAGTCCTACCTCAGGGAATCTGGTAATCATGTTATTTTCCATTAGCCAAAAAGTTATTTCCATTTACAGATGATATGCTATGAAGTGGGGGAAGGAGGGAGGGAGGAGAAAGGTAATACACCACTCCAGATTTAAACGGGATGAATGTGTAATACCAGCATTCTGCAACATTTTCACTCACTCCTGATAACTAGGAGTGAGTGAACCAGGAATGTTTTCTGAAGCTTTTATTGTTTCAAACATCAGGAAGTGAGCTGGGAGAGAGAGTGAATTGAGAGACTAAAGTCTGGCTTGTGTATCCCCTATCTATGTAGCTGAGCTTAGCTCTTTCACACGCTAGATTTCAGGTGTTATGAAAAATGGCATTTGGCAAAAGTTTTGATAGATTTTTAAGTCAAATAAATCATTGCTCTTCCAAGTTCAAAAAAAATGAGCTGTAAAATACATGTGAATATATACATCCATTGGTGGTTATAGTGGTATATGTAAAATACATATTGAAATAAGGGGAAACAACAATCAGCTTGGCAGGTAAAATTTTCCCACCTTTTATAATTCAATAAAACATTGGGGCTTCAAGATATACTAGAAAGACTTTATTTACAGGTGTGTATCAATACTGTATCAGTAAACACTTCCCTTTCATTCTGGAAGAACAGTTTCTGTTAGCTTCCAAAACTCCCCAAACATCCCTTTAAAAAAAATGATGGAATTAGCAGAGACTCATAGAGACACACAACTGAACATAAAGATTTCGGTGTTGTATAATTTGTCATAGAAGTATCAGAATAATAAATGAGTTTATATGTTCATTGATGTGATCCTTCCCTTCAGAAGAATACCACATTTATTTTACCACATTTTTTTCAGTACATCTCAGGGACAAATACACACACAGTCATTTTTTATAAAGATAAAATACATGCTTCAGGACTGATTCATAACACCTATTCATCTTTATTTAAATATTTACACAGGAATGGGCTAATACAGCTAGACTGTGTCATTTATTGGGGCTGACGCTTGTCAATTTACTGCAGAAATGTTAATGAAGTCTATCATTATCTCTATAGCTAAAATTAATTTAAAAAA